CTAATAAGGCAATAAAGGTAACTGAGTATTCTTAGTTTTGATTTGTTAACCAGATAAGACATGCCTTACCGATCCTTTGATGGTAAAAATCACGGGATGAGGGGCACATGGGTGGCTTAGTTAAGCGTCCAGCTATTTAGTTCAGTTCAAATCTTGATTTCAGGGTCATGAGTTCATGCCCCATGTTTTTAAAAAAGGTGGGATGAAAATATATGTATATATAAATATAAAATACATAGTATAACACCTGTGTCCGTATGTGCCCAGGGACTATAGTTTTGAGTGCTACCACTCAAATAACCTTAAGGAAAATGTTGATATCATTCCATTTTATTTTATTGTGTTCAAATTCTGCTTTTCTGGAAACCAGATCCACTTGATCATTGGTAGTGAATTAAATGGGAAGCACAGTTTCCATGGAACATAGTATTTCAGAAATCTACCCTCTTTTTTTTTTTTTAAGATTTATAGTGGGTTTTTTGTTTTATTTTTGAGAGAGAGAATGAGTTGGGGAGGGCCAGTGGGAGAGGGAGGCACAGAATTTCTAGTAGACTGAACACCCAGTGTGGAGCCAGACATGGGGCTGGATTCCGCAATCCTGAGAACATGACCTCACTTGAAATCAAAGAGTTGGAAGCCTAATTGACTGAGCCACCCATGTGCCCCAGAAGTTTACTCTCTTGATATTACTCTTTGAAACCAATTTTAGGAAAGAATTTTTTTTTATTCTGTGTACTTTTCTTTACTTGGATGTTAAAAAGAATGAATTTGACATTTTTTCCCCCCCTTAGGGCATCTGGCTGGTTCAGTTGGTAGAAAAGGCAACTTGATCTCTGGGCTGAGTTGAGGTCCCACATTGGATATAGAGATTATGTACACACATAACTACGTAATCCTTTAGAAAAGGGTTTTTCTATTAACACCTGAAACTAATATAACACTATATATTAACCGGAATTAACAAAAACTTTAAAAAACATTTTTTCTGAGAAAACTTTAAAAAGGATGTGACTGGACTAATTTCATCTGTGAGGAAATTTGGAGTATTTAGAATGTGCCAGAAACTTCTAGTTGTGGAATTTATAAACTGATTGATAAGGATTAACCAAATTTTAAATTGCAAACATTTTTAAGAATTTGTGTATTTTAGAGACAGCTTGCTTATGCATGCACAGGGAGAGGGGGGAAGAGAGAGAATCCCAAGCACACTCCCCCTAAGCACCGAGTCCGGGGAGTTGATCCCACAAGATCCACAAGGTCATGACCAGAGCTGAAACCAAGAGTCAGACACTCAACCAGCTGAGCCACCCAGGCACCCATTGACTTAAAACATTTGATCATAATTCCCACATTATTGAAAGTGATTTTCAGGTATTTTTTTTATATATAGTAATCTTTACTCATAACCTGGAGCTCAGACTCACGACCCTGAGATCAAGAGTCGTATGTTCTTACTGAGGCAGCTAGGTGCCCCTAAAGTGATTTGTGGATAAAGACTGCAGTTGTTGGTAATAAGAATACCAAATTGTTAAAAATGAGTTTAGAATGTAATATGCTACAGAGCTATCTATGTAAGGTTAAAAGCAAAAAAATAAAGTGTGTGGAATTGTACTAGGAGTATGAAATTGTGGAAAATCCAGACTGGGAAACTTCAGGTCAAATACCCTGTATTCTTCAAGCAATAAATTTGAATTTAAGGGGGTGCCTAGGTGGCTCAGTTGGTTAAGTGTCTGCCTTCGGCTCAGGTGATGATCTCCCGGATCTTGGATGGAGCCCCACATCTGACTCCCTGCTCAGCAGGGAGTCTCCCTTTGCCCTTCGCACCCACTCGCGCTCTCACACAAATAATAAAATTTTTTAAAGTGGTGACTACAAAGAATAGTAGTTACTTTGGGGGGTTGGAAAGGTTTAAAGAATGGAATGCTGCACATGGGGCTCTGAGTTAGTCTTGAGATTGTGGAGACTAAGCCACTCTGGCATCTTGAGACATTTTTGTTACAGTACCTTGTACTCATGCATTCTTGGAGCAGGGAAAAAACCCTTCCTGTTTCAACTGCTTTTCTTAAAATTGGCTCCCTTGACTTTCCACTAAATGGGTATTTGGGGATTCTTCCATTTCTAGGTCTTTCTGGTTCTCCTGCAGTGGTAGATAACCATGCACATGTGGGCTATTGGCTTCCCTTTACCAGCTTGCGTTATGGCATTTTGATTGGGGTACCTGGGCACCCAAGTTTATCTAGTTGCTTTTATATGGGGATTCAGAAAGGTTCAAAAACTCTGATGATGATGTTTTGTTCTGGGAAATCTAGGGGTTACCCCCTGCCTTAGTTTCTTTGCATTTAGGATACAGATTTCAGAGGTAGGGTGAAATGTGACCTCAGTTCATTTGGTATTTGTAAAATTTTGGTAAATACGGTCCCTCTTCAATAGTTTTGGAACAGTGGTATCATTAGAGTGTAAACTGTGAGGAATCCTGCTCTTCATGTTTTTCCTCTGAAGTAGCCTTGGTACCTAGTACTTACCAGATATTCAGTAAATGTCCAGTGAAAAAAATGTATTAATTTGTAGTAATTTATTCTTTAGAAGATGTGTTCCTTGGAACAGGGTTAATGGACCTTTGTGGGTTCACTTGTCTTTATTGTTGCTTATACCTTGATTAAATCCTTAGTATGTACATTAAATCCTTTAGCCAAGCTTTTGAGGCTGAGGTCATTATTACTGTTAACAGAAATTAACAGGATTCTTGTAGCAAATTTAGTAACCACATACAATTGGAGAAAATAGATAAAATTACATACTTTTTTTTAAAAAAAGATTTTATTTATTTAACAGAGATCACAGGTAGGCAGAGAAGCAGGCAGAGAGAGACATGGGAGGAAGCAGGCTCCTCGTGGAGCAGAGAGCCCGATGTGGGGCTCGATCCCCAGACCCTGGGATCATGACCCGAGCCAAAGGCAGAGGCTTTAACCCACTGAGCCACCCAGGCGCCCTAAAATTATATACTTAAATTCAGAGATGGCAATCATCGTTAGCACATTTTTACTTGTGTATCTGGATGTTTATCAGCCTTTCCAGATGGAGTTCCATGGGTTTTAAACCTTAATATCCTAAGGCATTCTTTTGTAATAAATTGTCTACTTCTAGATTGGTTCTAGCTATGTACCGTCTTTGTAAAAAGTGAAAAAATAACCATTTAAATCGACTTCTGTGGTTCCAAGGAGTATATTTGAAGGGGACATTATTGTCAGTTTGTTTTACACTCTTGTTTACTATGCTGATGGCATGTAGAAAGAACCATTCTCTTCCCCAACAGGTAATTGCTAATTAAATCTAGGAAGATTTATCGTTTTAGTTACTATTATTTTCTATAATATGTAGAATATGTTTATTTTTTGTGAAAATAATTGTAGAAAACTGGCTTGAGTTCTCCCCTCTTATATTAATAGCAAGCCTTAATAACCAGCAGTAATATTTGAAACCAGTTAGTCCTTTCAGTAGGTTTCTGTTTTTGGTGTTCTGAGGAGGCTTTCTGGGACGTGAAAGAGTGTTGGTGACTCTGTTCCATTGTTTGGTAAATTCTTATTGCTTAGTCTAAGAAAAATTAACTTGTTTATAAAGCTATAATTCAGAAACCAAAATCAAGTAAAGACTTTCTTAATTTTAGAAAGGCTAGGAGGGAAAAGCGGTTGTTACAGCTTTAGAAATCAGTACTACTTGTGAAATGAGTAGTATTTTAAGGATCAGAATATTAGTGATCTATATAAATGATGTTACACTACCTGTTTTGTTACACACATATATGCATATATAGAAGATATTTTTATGTAATCCATGAACTAGTTTGTCATTCTTCTGGGGATTGGAAAAATAACATCCTAGATACTCATCTGATGCGAGTTTCAAAGGGATGAATGGAAAAATAAATTAATCTTAAGAATGGTACTCTGAATCTAATGTGGGACCATCTTAAACTGTTTTAAGTTTGGTAGTTGGAATGGGAAGGGGCAGCAGATACAAACCCTAAAAGAATGTCAAAATGTTTCTACTTGAAAAAACCTAAGGTGATAGAACATGAATCTCCTTGTAATTATAATGTGACTGAACCTTCATATACATTTTTTTTTTAAAAAAAGATAACTTTTGTTTTGAGGAAAGTGGTACTCTTCTTAGTTCTCCTGGTCCTCTCTCGATTCATGCAGTGTTCTATGTGCTAGTTTTATCATCATCACCATCTAGTATTACAGATATCCCAGCTGTATTTTCTAGATCATCACATAAAAAATAGATTGAGTCATTGTATTCTATAAAATGATGTATTGTTACTTAAGATATCTCTGGCATATTATGAATCGTTTAATGTACCTGGAAATATTTCCAGAGTGAATGATTTGGGTCTATATATTGCCTTAGTATAATAAAGTTAATTATATTTGAAGGGGAGAGGGTCTCTTGCCCACATTTATCTAGCTAAAAATGGTTTGGGCAGAGTTTTGTATATCTTTGGAATAGGTGAGACTCATTTTAATAATAGCAATGTGTAAGAAGGTGGAGTTATTGATATATGGCAGGAAATGGTTAGGTTAGTATGAAAAGGAGGGTTAAAATTTATGAGAAGTTGATAATAGAGAGTTCAAGGTATTCTAATTTACTTGAGGACTTAAGAACAGAGAGGGCTCACTTGAAATGAATAATGCCCTTAATTGTGTTGCTAGTTGTCTTTGAAGAGCACCCCCCCCTCCCCGCAACCCACGGTCCCTTGAAATGATAATCTGGCACTGCTGGAGTAGACTAGGGAAGATGGAACTGAATTTGTATAAGGGTGCATATATTCAGGAGCTCTCCTCTCTAAAATAGTAATATACTTTGTGAGAGCCGATTAAGTTGACTGATATGATACTCTAGTCACAGTGTTCAAAATAAAGAGTAGAAAGTTTTATCAAGGAGTATTTTGGCTCTAGTCTCTTTTTTTAACCTGAATGCTTTTTTTTTTTTCCATCCAGTTTTTCAGCTTTGTGAAGAACCTTAACATCAAAGAAAATGGCCAGCAATGTTACCAACAAGACAGATCCTCGCTCCATGAACTCCCGTGTATTCATTGGGAATCTCAATACTCTTGTGGTCAAGAAATCTGATGTGGAGGCGATCTTTTCAAAATACGGCAAAATTGTGGGTTGCTCTGTTCATAAGGGCTTTGCCTTTGTTCAGTATGTTAATGAGAGAAATGCCCGTGCTGCTGTGGCAGGAGAGGATGGCAGAATGATTGCTGGCCAGGTTTTAGGTAAGATCTGGGTTGTATTTCTTCGTTGACTGTTTAATTCAGATATGAGTTTTTCTGTTCATGCTTCTGTTTTTCTTACTTTCCATTAAGCTAAGTTGAAAAAAATGTTAAGTTTATAGTTGTAATTGGCTAAATAAGGATTTTACTCCTTTCTGTGTAGCAGAGACTGGATAAACCAGTTGGTGGTCTTGAGTAAGGTCAGGAAAATAGGAATGACATTACATAAGGTACAGTGGCTGCCCTAAATAGCTGTCCTCCTGCTCACAGTAGAATGGGCAAAGGCAATATAGCTTAGTCACTCATGGGCTGTGGAGTCAGATTGCTTGACACAACTGTTTTGGGCAGTCTACATAACTTGGCTGAGCCTTCTCATCTGTTAAAATGGAGGTATAGTATATCAGTCTATTACCTGTTCTCCACCCCCACTGCCAAAGATATTATTTATTTGGCAGAGAGATGCAGGGAGAGTGGGAGAGGGAGAAGCAGGCTTTGTGTGGAACAGGAAACCCAATGCTGGGCTCCATCCCAGGGCCCTAGGATCATGACCAGAGCCGAAGGCAGACACTTAAACCACTGAGCCACCCAGGCACCTCCAGTCTGTTATCTGTTCTTACCTGAGATAATAGTACTTTGGTGTTACCAAGAATTTGGATTAATTAGGATGTTTCATGAGAAGCTTCTGGTGTAAGTCTAAAATGTCACGCTCAATAAAAGATGCTTAGTGTTACATATGTTTTAGCATTAGCAGTACAAACTGGTTTTGTTTTTGGTCTTAGAGTACATAAGATGTTCCTGATGATTGTAGAATTTAATCTCCATGAATAATTTTGACTGCTTATCCATTGCTAAGATTTGCTGTCAGAATCACAGTTAATTTTATATAGCTTTTTTTTTTTTAAAGATTTTATTTATTTATTTATTTGACAGAGATCACAAGTAGGCAGAGGAGGCAGGCAGAGAGGGGGGAGCAGGCTCCCTGCTGAGCAGAGGGCCCGATGTGGGGCTTGATCTCAGGACTCTGGGATCATGACCTGAGCCGAAGGCAGAGGCTTTAACCCATTGAGCCACCCAGGCGCCCCTATATAGCTTATATTTTTCTGTGTGTGAATATTAGGGAAGCTGAAGGGTTTGTAAGACAAAAGTCCATTTCTTTTTGTCCTTTATGAATAAAAGGGAACAAGCACACAGACATCTTGAGTGCCACAGAATGGCTAGTTCCATTGTTGATAATGTATTGTTTAGCAGTTAAAATTATCTACTTCAGATTTATAAAGTTTACAGCAATTCATAATTACGTGAGACTTTTTAGGGGCGCATGAATGGCTCAGTCGTTAAGTGTCTACCTTGCCTGTGGCTCAGATGATCGAGCCCTGCTTGTGTTCCCTCTCTCACTGTGTCTGTCCCTCTGTCAAATAAATAAAAAGACTTCAGTTTTCTGAAGATTCCTGTGGTGGCTTATTTAAATTTTCTTATTGTTTTCAACATTATCAAGAGTTTGTATTCAGGTGGTGGTTGTTTTTTGTTTTAATTTTTTTTTTTAAGATTCTATTTATTTATTTGACAGAAATCACAAGTAGGCAGAGAGGCAGGCAGAGAGAGAGGAGGAAGCAGGCTCCCTGCTGAGCAGAGAGCCCGATAGGACCCTGAGATCATGACCTGAGCCGGAGGCAGAGGCTTTAACCCACTGAGCCACCAGGCGCCCTGTTGTTTTTTCTTTTTCTTTTTTTTAAATGCATAGTGTTCAAGTTGAATTCCACCTTAAATGTTTTATTTTCTACCTGGCTTTCTTCAGGATGCTGTGAATTTTTTTCCCCTGAAGTATTTCCATGTTGGTGTTTACTTACAGTACTACACAGAACTTAAGCATTTCATAATGATTGTAGTATTTAATAAATACTTCCTACATAACATGATTTATTATAAAGTTTCAACTGTTTTTGTTTTTGTTTTTAAATAAGTGACAGCTCCACTCTTGGAGTAAACAGCATTCTTACTATCAGGAGCAGCTCTCTTTAAAGATGTTATTTTATTTTAAAGTTTTAGTTTTTTGTTTTTGTTTTTTTTTTTAAGATTTTATTTATTTATTTGACAGAGAGAGATCACAGGTAGGCAGAGGGGCAGGCAGAGAGAGAGGAGGAAGCAAGTTCCCTGCTGAGCAGAGAGCCCGATGTGGGGCTTGATCCCAGGACACTGGGACCATGACCTGAGCCGAAGTCAGAGGCTTTAACCCACTGAGCTACCCAGGCGCCCCTAAAGTTTTAGTTTTTAATTTTTTTATTTGACACAGCGTGAGAAGAGGGAGCAGCAGGGAGAGGGAGAAGTAGGCTTCCAGCTGAGCAGGGAGCCAAATGTAGGGCTCCATTCCAGGACCTTGGGATCATGATCTGAGTTGAAGGCAGACGCTCAACTGAGTCACCCAGGCACCTTTCTTTCTTTTAGAGAGGGGTGGGGCTGGAGAGAAAGGGGGAAAATCTGAAGTAGACTCCTCCCCTGAGCACAGAGCATGATGGCCTTTGGGGCTTCATCTCACAACCCTGAGATCATAACCTGAGCCAAAACCAGCAGTTGGATGCTTAACCAGCTGAGCTACCCAGGTGCCCCTCGACAGCTTTTTAGACTATTTTGAATGTTTGGTTACTGTTTCTCAGTGGCTCTTTGCGTAAAGAGCTCTCATTCTAGAATAAAAGTATTGTGTAATTTGTAAACACTTACTAAATGCTAACTATTTTTAAAAATCCCAACCATACTGGATTAGGATGGAAAAATACTGGAAGTTAGAGAATCTTGTAATCCTTGACCTTGAAGATCCATGGAACAGTTGTAATTGGAGAATACATGAGAAATTTTCATACCTATTTGTCCTATATCCAAAGTACAAGAAGACACACGTATAAAACTTTGGCATCTGTAAAATGGCTGCGTCATAAAATGAAGTCAGGGTTTTTCATGATATATTTTTTTTTAACTGTCATGGAAATTTACTAACACAGAAGTAGAGAAATTTAATGAATTTGTAAGTACATCTCACCTTGTTAAATACCAATATTTAGTCATGTTTTCATCTATTTTATTGGTTTTCTTTTAAATTTCATTAGAATAATTCTAAGACTTCATATATCCAGCAGATAAGAACTTTTAACAAAATGTAAACCACATTGCTCTTATCACATAAAGAAACTCAACAATAATTCCTTAATACCATCAAATATTCAATCCATGTTTAGATTTCTATATTATTTCAGACTTTTTTTAATAACTTGCTTTATTCAGATCAAGATCCAGTCCATGTCCACATATGCATTTGATTAATTACCCCCCCTTTTTTTTTTTGACAGAGATCAGAAGTAGGCAGAGAGGCAGGAAGAGAGAGAGAAAGAGGAGGAAGCAGGCTCCCTGTTGAGCAGAGACCCCCGATGTGGGGCTCGATCCCAGGACCCTGGGATCATGACCCAAGCCAAAGGCAGAGGCTTTAACCCACTGAGCCACCCAGGCGCCCCTGATTAATTGCCCCTTAGATGTCTTGAAGTCTTGAGTTTCCCCCATACCTTCCTTTCCTGTTTGAAAAATTTGTGACCTTTAATTTGTTACTGATTTGATTATTTGTGGTATCATTTAATTTGTTCTCTTCCTCTGTTTTGTGTAATACTGCCAGATCTAGGGCAGCACTGTCCAATAGAAATGTAAATGTGTATACTTCAGACACATCTGAATTCAGGCTTGTGGCTAGCAGCTCACTATATTGGACGTGCAGATCTAGAAGTTTGATTTAATTCAGATTCCATTTATTTTTGGTGAAAACGTTATGTGAATAATGTTAATGTATTTTATATTGTAACACACCTTAATATGGTTGCCCATTTTTAGTACTGTTAAGGATAATTTGTAGGTTCAGGTTTTACGTCTTGATCCATCTGTGATAAAGTTTGCCATCAATTTTCCACCTTACTGGTGATCATTCGTTGATGATCATTGATGAGGTATTTCATAAGGGGTTGCAAAAGAGTAGATTTCTAATTTCCTTCTTAAGTTTTCTGAAATGAACAACTCATTAATATTTGCTTTTTCTGAAATACCATTCATGTTGGAAAGACCAGATAAATTTTTTTCAGAAACTCTTCAATAGGGGCATCTGGGTGGCTCAGTGGGTTAAAGCCTCTGCCTTCGGCTCAGGTCATAATCCTGGGGTCCTGGGATCGAGCCCCACATCGGGCTCTCTGCTCAGCAGGGAGCCTGCTTCCTTTCCTCTCTCTCTGCCTTCCTCTCTGCCTACCTGTGATCTCTGTCAAAATAAATAAAATCTTAAAAAACAAAACAAAAACTTCAGTATTTTAGCTTGAAGGGTGGGCAGCAAAGCATGGTTTATTGAGCGACAGCGAAGTGATAGTACAAAGCTCCCAAGGAGGGAAGGGACCCTGAAGAGGTTGCCCGAGTGTGGGTTTTTTTGTTTGTTTTTTGAAGTTCTACAAGCTCTATACCCAACATTGGTCTTGAACTCAAAACCCCTAGATCAAGAGTCACATGCTGTACAGACTGAGCCAGACAGGTGCCCCCATAATGTTAATATTTCTAATAATTTAAATTGGTGTGTGTTAATACATTACATATCCTTCTTTAGAGCTCAGAATATTTCATCTGTGGCCAGTGTATCCTGTGTCCTTGAGACCTTCGTTTTTTGTTTTTGTTTTTTTTAAGATTTTATTTATTTGACAGAGATCACAAGTAGGCAAAGAGGCAGGTGCGGGGGGAGAGCAGGCTCCCAACCAAGTAGAGAGCCCGATGCAGGGCTCGATCCCAGGACCCTGAGATAATGACCAGAGCTGAAGGCAGAAACCCAGCCCATTGAGCCACCCACGCTCCCCGAGATCTTAGTTTTATAATAATTTCATTGCATCCTTGCTTTCTGGCATCACAAGATATTCCAGGTCTTCTGATGTGTTTCTTGACCTAAATCTGTTTGCCACTTAATAAAATAATGGGAATTACCTAGAAGCCACAGTCTGTACACCAGGGAGTGTTCATTACTGATTTTTAATAGTTTCTGTCTAGTTAGTAAGTAGAATAGGAAGCACTTTTTTAAAGAAAACAAAACAGTTTTACATGTGCTTAGTTTAACAGTTTCAAAATAACCATGCCTGTTTGTTTTTTTTACAAAAATTAAGATTACTAAATACTTTTTTAGATTTGAGATTTTTTATTAGTATATATCCTATTCTGGATATTGACTCAATACTACAGTTTAGGACACATGGAATAATTCTATAAGATTGTGTAATCAGGGCACTTAGGTGGCTCAGTTGGTTAAGCATCTGCCTTTGGCCCTGGGGTCCAGTCAGGCATCTGGCTTTCTGCTTAGCAGGAGTCTGCTTTTCCCTCTCCCTACTCCCTGCTCATTCTCTGTCTTTCGAGTGGATAAATAAATTACCTTCAGGAAAAGGTTGGGGGAGGTTGTATAATCAACTTGATATATAATCTCATTCTGTTTTTATTTTAGAATTGCGTTGTTTTTTTGTTTTGTTTTGTTTTGTTTTTAAGAGATGGAGGTGTAGAGGTGGGGAAAACTGTGCCGGGAACCTACTCAGATAAAAACAAGTCAACTGTAAAGGCAAGGTTGTTCTTAACATTAGGTGCTAGAAATTGGAAATGAATTTAGTGAACCAGAAACTCTTCAGATTCTTCATTAATGTAATGATGTTCAGCAAATAGTGTACTAAAAGTCTTTTTCAGTTGGTCATTTGATGAACTAAGTTTTGGAGAGGTGGGTTTTGACAAATGGACTCTTATTAGAATAAGGAAGAGATCATGAATTCTTTTGTTTGGTAGGCAGTGAGTCGTAGGACTATAGCTGGCCATGTTGGAATAGGTGTTTTTAAAATTACGTTTATGGAACCTAGGACTTTTTCCTTTGTTCCCTTAATTCCCTTTTCTTGGTTTGTGTGTGTATGTGTGTGTGCGTGCGCACACAGAGACACATGCGGATGCACAAATGTGTATGGAAAAGTTGTTGAGCAATTGGCTGAATAGTCATCTAAACTGTTACTCAACTTTTTAAAAAAATTTTATTTATTTGATAGAGATCACAAGCAGGCAGAGAGGCAGGCAGAGAGAGAGGAAGGGAAGCAAACAGGCTCCCTGATGAACAGAGAGCCCGACACGGGGCTCAATCCCAGGACCCCGGGATGACCTGAACCAAAGGCAGAGGCTTTAACCCACTGAGCCACCCAGGCGCCCCTATCTTTCAACTTTTACAGCTGATCCTATTTATAAGGAGAATGAAAATTCACCTTTGGGGATACTTTTAAGGGATCATACTTTAAGGGATCCTACTCATAATAATTCGTGAATTGCTATGTATTTTATATCTCTGAGGTCATTCATTCATTCCTAATACATGCTCTTAGTAGTGAGAGTTTCATTTTATTGGGAACTGAGGGTAGAAGGTACCAAAGACAAATGGTCATGTCTTATATATAATAAGTGTATATATGTCTTATACATAATGAATACCTTTTTGTTACAGAACAGAGGATAAAGGATTGAAAAATTAAGTCCTAGCCTTGTAAAAATTCATGAGCCCTTTTTTACATAAGAAAAGATGGGACATCATGTTCAGTGTTTCTTGATTTATATACTACTTACACATCTTAAAACTGTAGTTTAAGATGCTACACTACCCCTACAGGGTTGTCGTTAAAGTTTTTGTCTTTATTTTTGTTTTTTTTCAGATATTAATCTGGCTGCAGAGCCAAAAGTGAACCGAGGAAAAGCAGGTGTGAAACGATCTGCAGCGGAGATGTACGGGTCAGTACCAGAACACCCTTCTCCGTCCCCTCTACTCAGGTCCGGAACTTTATTATTTATAACTGCATTGTGTCCATCAGTGGGCATCTTCTCTATCTGTTTTCTGGATGTGGGGAGGGTTAACTATAGTATGTTTTATCTGTGTAAAAATGATGCTTTATTAATTTTTAATTAGTATACCTCCTTTTCACCCATTTCCCAGAGAATTGTTAGAATTCCCTGAGATTTTTTTATTTACTAAAGAGCAGTTTGGTATTTTTAACATACAGTGAAATCTTTGGAGAGGAGTTGTTTAGTTTGTAAGAAGCTGGGAAATACGAAAGGGAAGGAGAATAGCATAAGAATATTTGGTTTACTGTTGTACTTTTCAGTGTTCTTATATTAGTGTTATGTTTTATGTTGGAATTGTAGCAGATTCGTGCCTAAATTTGCAAATTAGCTGCTGCATGTCCAGTGGCTTCTAAGATGATTGGAATTTTAGTGATTTGTTGCTTAAATGATTGGGAATTATTCCATGCTAATCTCTTGATCTATTTGTTATGGTTGGTTTTGCATGGTTTTTTGTTTTTGTTTTTCCCATCTGCTATTGTGAATTTACATCAACAGCTCCAAATTAATCCTCTTTGGTATTTATTTTTCAGCTCCTCTTTTGACTTGGACTATGACTTTCAACGAGATTATTATGACAGGTATGTTAAAGGTGTTTTGTCTTGTCTAACCATTTATTTTTTTCTAATATGTAATGAACATTCTCTTGTAATGAATAACAAAGATGTTTTCGAGGTACCCCCTTTGTAAACATAATGGAAAATCCATCCTGTAAATGGTCAGGGGTAGACTAGGGTGGGTGACATTTCTCTTGATTTCAAAGAGTCAGTTTATATATTGTCAGGGCATACGGGAACACGTCTAGTATTTTGTTTGCATTTGTATGCCAACTAAAAGTAAGGACTGACTTGTCAAATGATAAAATAGGACTTACGTAGCATTTCCATGTTCCCTTTTTATTTCCTTATTGCATACTTGCCACTGGGCTTTGCATTGTAGAGTATTATAGCAAAACTACTTAAAAAAAGATCCTAAGTCTCTATTGAGCAAACCAACTAATACAAAATAGGATACAGTAAGCATACATAAATGAATTAACAATATAAATTGCTCTAGGGGTTATAAAGTGTTGAAGACTTGCAGATTGGGGGTGGTGGTTGACACCATTCTAGAAGGCAAGGTGGTTGGAACAGTGGTTGATATGTGTGTGTGCGTGTGTGCGGTTGGAACAGTGGTTGATACGTGTGTGTGCGTGTGTGCGCACACGCGTCTTCAGAAGAGCATTAGTTTTCGTTGAGAAATAAAATCAGGAAGGTGTGTAGATAGGGATACGTTATGGATGGTTATGAATTAAAGATTTACACATGATAATAGGAACTAGTTAACTGGGGAATGACAGTACACAGAAGATACTAGTATTAACTAGCATTCGGATAACATTAGTCTTAATGAAGATTAAGGAGATACTAAGTTTATTTGGTTTCCTGCTTTTTAAATAATGCATTATTATATGGAAGTATATGGAGTGTACTCCTACACTGGACTTGACCTAGTATGAGTTTTCCTTCGCTATTTTTCATCTTAGGTTTTCAGTATTCCAGTCATTAGTATGGTGTTAATATATATAAGAATTTCAGTTAGATCAATTTCTGCTTTGGAAATAAAAGTAATAGCTTTCTTGATTAGGGAATGTTTTCCCAAAAGAAAAATTTTTGAACTGAGTAGATTAGTCATGCCACGGATTTGGGTAATGAAATCAAGTCAGTCAGTAAACACTATGAGTAAAGACGTGAACATAAATACTTTTTGTATCCTTTTTGTGTTTGAGACAGATACGGACTGCAGCAGGCTAGTCATTATTAGGCCAAAAAAATAAGGCTAGAAAAATAGTTTGGGCCTACATTGTTAAGGTCTTTGAATGCCATATTAAGGTTGTGTGATTTGAGTATTCTTCCTGCATCATCAGAATGGTTATTTCATTTGTCCTTAGAGATTTCTTCACATTTTTGTGTCTATTAGTCTGAATGCATATCTTGAAAACTATGCTGATTCTCATATTTTGAAAATACTAAGGTATTTAAAAACAGAACAGATCTGGGCATCTCTTTGCTAATGAAAATGTGATCATTGGGTGAGTGACTTGAAGCCCCTGAGACATAAGTTTATCTGAGGCAACTGCTCTTCCCCTCCCCCCCAAGATTGATTGATTTATTTGACAGAGAGAGAGAGCTCACAAGTAGATGGGAGAGGCAGGCAAGAGAGAGAGGGAAGCAGGCTTCCTGCTGAGCAGAGAGCCCGATGCAGGACTCGATCCCAGGACCCTAAGATCATGACCTGAGCCGAAGGCAGCGACTTAACCCACTGAGCCACCCAGGTGCCCGAGGCAACTGCTCTTTACACTCAACTCTCTGCTTAAGAAAATACTCAGTGCCCAGCTATAGCTTTAAGGATCCTTGTACACATGGTCTAGGTAGATTCTTGACTGTTGGTACATATATATATATATATTTTTTTAAAGCTTCTGAAGTTTGATGTCAGAGTCAAGAATCATTTATAAGGGATGAGGAAGTAGTTTTTATTTCTGTAATTCTTACCCTGTTTCTTTGTCCATGGCTCCCTTTAGAAAAATTCTAGTACATTTATATATATGTATATACATTATAAATAATTTGGGGGTGTACCTCGAACTGGAATGCAAGAAACCTCCTGTTTTAAATTGAGTGTATAGAGATTTTTAACATGTACAATCCTACCTTTTTCATGAGAGTAGCTATCTAAAGTTTTAGTTGTCCTGTTGAGGCAGTAAAACTTAGACCATCCCTACCATCATCCCACTATTAGTTCAGAAAAGATTGTTTTTGAGTGAGGACTTATCAAAGGGTTAATTGAAAAGAGATGTAAACAGGAAGAAATAGTGAAGAAATTTTAGAGATTTGCAGAAATACCTTCAAATTTCTTGCCACTGCTCTTTGATCCTAAAAGTTGGTGGCAGTGCCACTACTGGCCTTACTCTTCAGTTTTTCAAGAGGAAAGAGAATACCTTTAGTTAGTCTGATGGTATTACTTGATTTTTTTAAGATTTTTACTTTTTATTTGACAAGTAGGCAAAGAGAAGGGGGTAAGCAGCTCCCTGCTGAGCAGAGAGCTAGATGCAGGACTCAATCCTAGGACCCTGACATCATGACCTGAGCCGAAGGCAGCGACTTAACCCACTGAGCCCCCCAGGCGCCCCTAGAAAGACACTTGCGATAACCAAGCAACCTGGCAGTAGTGGGTAAAGAGCCGATTCAAGTGTATCACTGAGGTCTGTAGTAGGAAAATGAATATACTTAGTTAAAAATAAAACTAAATCAGGAAAATTGCATTAGTTTCTGCTTAGAAGTCATTCTTAACATACTTTATTGGCAAGGTTAAGACTTCTGCTGTCTTAGTTGCTAACATAGTGATCCTAAATCATCTGTGTTGGATTCCTTATTAAAACAGAATGGAACATTGGCTCTAAGATGAGCTGAAAGCTCTGGGTCTTCCTGTGTAAATGGGGTTAAATCAGTGTCTGCCTAATCCCTTCAGTCATAACCCTTAAGAACACCGAATTCACATAAATGTTTCAAGACATAAATTTGGCATTTCTTTAGGGTTTTGTTGTTGTGTTTGTTTTTATTTTTGTTTTAGATTTTATTAGAGAGCCTGCATGAGCTGGGGGAGAAGGAGGAAAAGTGGACTCCTGCTGAGCATGGAGCCTGATGCAGCATGATGACTGGCTCCATCCCAGGACCCAGGTCATTATCTGAGCCAAAGTGAGACACTTGACTGACTGAGCCACCAAGAACCCCTAGATCATTTCATTATCATCCAGCTTTCTTCTACTTATTCTTACGGTAGAGAGGCAGCTGATAAGGAATGTAGGAAAGAACAACTGAAGAATCCGAAGACTTCAAAGTTAGCAAAGAAGCTTATGACCAAAGTCCTGTAATCACAGATTTCTTACTTCTAAAATGGAAATAATGCCTACTAATAGAGTGGCTATGAAGACTAAAGGAAACATGAAAGATAAATTGCATTATAAGTGCGTCTGGTGGCTCAGTGGGTTAAGCGTCTGCCTTCACCTCAGGTCATGATCTGAGGTCCTGGGATCAAGCTTCATGTTCGGTTTCTGCCCCTTCCCCCCTACTTGTGCTGTCTGCTTCTCAAATAAATAGAATCTTTAAAAATTTTTTTTTTAAATTGCATTATAAATATACCCACAACCAGTGGTTATATATAACTACAACAAACACAACTACAACCAGTGAAGACCATGAGGATTCATTCCTATTTATTATCAAGATCTTCAGATTTCTTACTTGTTAAATTTGCTGGAAGTTATACTTCTGATTTTATTTATCCTATTAATACTGCTGTATATTATTTTGTTGACACGTACCAAAATGAAGGGACTTGTGGATACCCTACCAGTTCTCTTTCCGGAAAACTAACATCTGTAGCATAACTCAAGTTCTTTATGTGTGACAGCAGTCTTACCAGCTAATGTGTAGTGAAATGAACAATGGTTAGTGTTTGTTTTCTAGACACCTTAATTAATTTTTTTTTAAAGATTTTATATGTTTATTTGACAGAGATTGCAAGTAGGCAGAGGGGCAGGTTGGTGGCGGGGGAGCAGGCTCCCTGCAGAGCAGAGAGCCCCATGTGGGGCCTCAGTCCCAGGACCCTGGGATCATGACCAGAGCGGAAGGCAGAGAGGCTTTAACCCATTGAGCCACCCAGGTGCCCCAGCTTAATTAATTTCTTTACTGTCTTCTGAAACATCTCAATTTAAACATACACATAAAAGAGAACAGTGTAAGGGCACCTGGGTGGCTCAGTTAAGCATCTGACTCTTCATTTTGGCTCAGATACTGATCTCCGTGTTCTGAGATTGAGTCCCTGCTTGGGCTTCACACTGGGTGTGAAGCCTGCCTAAGATTCTCTCACTTGTGCCCCCCACACCCCTTTGCAAAAAAAAGAAAAAAAGAATAATGCAGAGTAAAAGATAAAAAGACTGCTTTTATAAACATAATCCCAGTACCATTTATACTTAAAATAATACTTCGTAATCTCATCTGTTTTCCACAGATTTGATTCTGTGGGTTACATTTTTGTGTATTTTAGCATGTTTCTCTGCCACCTTTATTTTCTCTGATCTGCTTGATAGATTTGCAGGCTTGATGAGATTTCAGGATCTGTTTTCTTTTTTTTCCCTTTCCATTAGGGATGAGGGAACAGGGCTTAAGGGAAACAAGAGAATACTTCATAAAGGCATTATGCCTTTTAGTCATCATTATTCTGATTTGTGACAGAAATTCTAAGGATGCAGGAAGCATTGGGTATTTTATAAGGAGAAACACTTTAGATATCAGGAAGTAGGTAATAGTGTTTTCTTAGGAGAATTAGAATGACTCGTATTTTTGTTTGGGGATGAGTGGGCATTTCTGATTAAGTCCCAAGGATTGTAAATACTTTACCTTTAAAACTAGAGGATAATTGGGGCACCAGAGTGGCTCAGTGGGTTAAAGCCTCTGCCTTGGGCTCAGGTCATGATCCCAGGATTCTGGGATCAGCCCAGCATCAGGCTCTCTGCTCAGCAGGGAGCCTGCTTCCCTTC